CGAAGTATGAGACTAAAGAGATACAGAACAAGGAGTGACCAGGGACAGGGAGACAGATGGGTAAGTGGATCCTCCTAACAGGGTGGTAAGCTGCCCTGCCTAGGGAGGTCAGGGAAGGCCCCCGGGAGGAGGTGTCCAGGAAGCATCTTAGTGAGGAATGAGAATGCATTGGACTGAAGAGGCACTCGGGCAGTGCTCATCAGGGAAAGAGCTCCTCTCAGAAAAACAGGGCTCAGTAGGCCAGAAGTCAAAGCTTACAGGAGCAAAGGTCACAACACGTTTAGAGCCAAAAAACAACCCGGAGGGGGCTGGCTTTGGTGCGGGACTTGGGGGAGGTCTCCTCTATCCATCCTTTGTCCCCTATTGGGGGTGGGGCAGGGGGACAAGGATGCTGCGGAGGTCTGACCTGGGTCTGTCAGCGTCAGGCCGGTCCCACCCATCTTTGGGTGGGGTCTAGGCCCACAGTGGAAACCCAGGGAGCAGGCAGAGGAAGTTGAAGAGAATCCTGGTGGTGAGCAGAGGTCAGGACAGGAGGTCAGCACAGAGGAGGGGGCTACACCTCACTGGCCCTGCCCTCCCCTCCCCCATGGCACCACAAGGCACGCAGCCGCATATCACCCGTGCCAGCCCTCACCTCCCGGCAACGTCGCCGCATTCTCAGCCACGCCATCTGGCGTGCCCGCCGCTCCCCGGCACACTGCGGCGGGCGGGGAGGAGGGGGCAGTGGGGCAGGTGCCCACCCTAGAGCCAGGAAGAAGCTTCAGGTCCCCCTCCCCCAGCCTCCTTTGGACTTGAGGTGGGGCAGGGGCTGGGGAGGGTGGTGGCAGGTGCTCCGCTGCTTCAGGAGGAAGCTTCCAGCTGCCTGAACTGCTGGAACACTGCTGGGCAGTGCCAGCTTGCCCCTCCCCGCCCTCCTCCCCCCACAGCATACTAATGCCAGGAACACAGGCCCCTCAAGGATCTCCAAATTCCTTCCCTTCCCTTCAAATATGAGGAAGGGGGTGGGAAGACAGGCGGCCCCCTCCCCACTGCGTTCCCAAGCTCACTGGGTCCTCACCTGCCAGCCCCACTCAGCGCAGAGAGGCCCCAGGAGGTAGACAGATGTGTGCCGAGGCCAGGGCTGGACACCTGGGTTTCATCCACCTGCTGCCCCTCCCTGCCTGGAGCTTTGGTGGGAAATCCAGTGTCCTTCAGCACATTTGCCGTCACCCATCTTATTTAGGGGTGACAACTGGCTAACTGTCCTTCTGGGTGTCAGAATGGAGTGGAGCAGTTACAGATTTATGTATGAATTTTGGTGGAGTAGGGGTGTAACGAGTGCAGTTTCTGGAACACTCTTCCTGTCCCCTGAGCAAGGGTGCCCCAGACTGCTCAGGGATGACCTCTCACCTCCCCCATCACACATTCTGCCTCCCTCACCCCTGCCCCCCAGGACCTGAGCCTGTGCGAAATGGCTACCACCCCTCTGAGGCAGCCATTTTAGGTGCCCAGACTGTGGCCTCCCTTGGGATGAGGCTATGTCTCCATGGGAACCGTAGGCCCCCAGCTCCCAGCTCCTTCCATGAGGAGTGGGCAGCAGCAATGGGGGCCTTCCAGGCCTGGCTGAGGTGCCCATCACTCCCGTTTCCCTCTTAGAGACCTGGAGGGGACCAGGCCCCTCACCAACTCCCTTCCCCCAATGCCAGGGGGAGGAACAGATGGCATCTCTGGGTGTCCTTCTCCTTCCGTCTCCTTCCTTCCATTTCTGGCTCTTTCTGTCTCTCCGTCACTACATCTCTGCATCTCTGGTGCAGAGAGATGCGCGTATGTCCCTGCGTGTTCATGCCTGCCGTGTGTATGTGGACACACGTGTTGTGCCTCTTTCAAGCCCATGTCTGAGGCAGGCCCATCCCACACCTCCCTCTGTTCCAATTTTCCCCTGGTTTTTATTGTATCTTCTAAAAAAAAAGTTGAAATGTGTCGAGTGAGAAAAACTTGTTCCATTTTTCTGAAGGAAGAAAAGACAGGGGCAGGAGACAGAGTGAAAGGGATGGAGCCCCCAGGTGCACACCCCCTGCCTCAGACCACCTTCTCTGGGTGACTAAGGGGGCTTCCCAGACCCAGAGAGTTGAGGTCACTCCTGACAGGTGGCCGGAAGGGTGGCAGGAACCCCCCACCCAAGGCCTCCCCTATCCTGAACAAGTTTCTGCCTCTTGCCGGGAGGGGCCTCTGAGACCCCTAGTGGGTTTAACCCAGTCCAAGGGAGAAGGCAGGGAGGGAGAACTTTCTCCCAAAAGGAAGCATTTATCGCTTATTCATCCGTTCATTCACCCACCAATTCAACAAAAATTCAGTTTCTATATAGACCAAGCATTCCGACTGTGTGTGGGGAAGGGCATGAGCAAAAAATTAATACTGTAAAGCATTCGACAGTTCACAAGGTGTTTTAATTAAGAGCTGGCATTTACTGAAGCCTTATTCATGGCCTGGATTATCCCATTTAGTATTGACAACAGCCCTATGATGGTGTAGCGTAATTTATCCCATTTTACAGATGAGGAAATCAAGACCAAGAGATGTTCTGTAACTTGCTCAAAGCATTCAGCATCTGTTTTTGAGACAAGGTCTGGCTCTGTCACCCAGGCTGGAGTGCAGTGATCACAGCTCCCTGTCACTTCTGCCTCCTGGTCTCCAGTGATCCTCTCACCTCAGCCTCTGGAGTAGCTGGGACTACAGGCCTGAGCCACCATGCCTGGCTAATTTTTGTATTTTGGGCAGAGACAGGTTTTCATCATGTTGCCCAGGCTGGTTTCAAACTCACGAGCTCAAGGGATCCGCTGGCCTCATCCTCCCAAAGTGCTGGGATTACAGGCATGAGCCACCGCGCAGGGCCAGCACTTTTTAAAGTTGGTAATGGGGTTGGCCAGGAATCCGAAGTCCAGGGCGTGTGCATGTAATGGAAATACCACCAAGCCAGGAGACTCCAGGAAAAAAGCTGCCAGTCAGGATTGAGGACCCCGCCCCCAGAAAGGGCTTTCAAAGCCTTCGAGGCTGTGCCCAAACTTAGTGGGGGCTGGCCAGCACTTCTGAGTCTCTGCCCATCCTTTGGCCTCTTCCCCCCACAACTATCTGCCATAGATGGGATTCACCTTGCAGACCCAGGATCCATGAATGAAGGGAAGAATGGTAGGCTTATTCTTAGAGACCACTGAGGCAGATTTTGAGATGATCAGTGGAGCACTGGCCTGTGGGTCAAGTAGCTGAGTCCTAGGCCCAGTTCTGCGCTTCCCCTGTGTGTTCCTAGGCAGGTCAGTTTCCCTCCATGGGCCTCAATAAGAGGAGGAGTTGGAGAGGTGCGTTCTCAGGCTCCTTTCAGTTCCTGGCCAAATGACTCAAGAGTCCCTGGCAGTACCAGCACCCCAATCTCCAAGGCCTCCTGATGTGGGTCTCTATTTAGAAGTTAAACCAGCCTACCCAACATCAAATCAATGTCTCACCAGCCCAAGGCCCCTGGGGAGCCTTCTAGAGGGAGAGAGCCCTGTCCACCCAGATGGAGGGTAAAGTCCTCCGCGTGCTCATTTTTGTACCACCACAGTGCCTGGCACATGGTAGACATCAAAATGTGTGTGCTGAAAGTGTAACTGAAGCTGTGTGCATCTGTCAGCCACAGGGTCTGGAGGGGCAGGGAATGTGGGTCTAAAACACACAAATGACTGTGATGGGGTGTGGGCAAGGGTCTCTGTACCCCAGGCTGTGATTACCTGCTCACATACCTGTGTCTATCTGAGAAGGGGTATGTTATCTATTTTTCCGTACCACAGGGTGAGGAACAGGTATGTGTGTGCATGAGCGTGTGTGTGTGTGTGAGCGTGTATGTGTGAGTGCGTGTGATCGTGTGTGTGAGCATGTACATGTGTGAGTGTGTGTGAACATGTGTGCATGAGCGTGTGTGTGACCATGTGTGTGTGAGTGTGTGTGTGTGTGTGTGTGTGTGTATCTAAAGCCGCCACCTTGACCTTTGCTGTTTGTATCTGTGTGTGGCGCAGTGAGAGGGTTGAAAGGTGAACCGCAAGATAAAGCAGCAATTTCCTACCTTCCTTATCAAGACACCCAGATGATCTACCTCCCCTTGGCCACTCTTGGGATTACTGGGGTTGGCTTCAGTATTTTCAGATTTTTCACAAGGGGAGGAGAATGCTTGAGTCTCATCCAGGAACTTTAGGCAGTTCTCAGCGCTGCCCTCTCCTCCTCCCTCAAATAACCAAGTCTGAAGGCCAGGAAAGGAAGCCGCTGGTGGACTGGTCACCTGTCTGGCAGTGGGAGGAGACTGAGAGGTTTCTAGGTTAGGAATCCAGACTTAGACCCTCCCCTCCACCCCCAGATGGGTGGTGCACAGGCTCATCTCACGGTCCCTCCCCACCTCCACCCCAACATGGATACGCCCCCAACAACCAAGGAAAGATCTCCCATCGGCTGACTCCACAGATACACACATGTCCCCACAGACACACACACGCCCCTGCAGAGGCACAGACATCCAGGCACATCTTTCCCTTTCTCTGTCTTTCCCTTGGTTTGAATTTCGTTTAGCCACATATGTTGTGTGTGCGTGAGGGCGGGTGGGGGAGGGGCAGACAGGGATGAGGGATGGCATGGTGCCAACATCTACCTATGGGGCTCGGCCAGGGACGCCCCTACACCCACCCTGGGAGGGGGCCTCAGCTGTCTCTTTGTGGCCAAGGGGACCCTCCTGGGGAGTGGGAGCAAGCACAGAGGTCCCTTCTCCCCACCCCAGAGTCTGGTCCCTGATCCCACCTTGGGGGCCTGCAGGGAAGGAAATGGACAGAGCAGGACCCTGAGGGAGCATAGAATTGGCCACTATGAGCCCCCACTGTCCAGCCTGGCCACCCCATTGTTCCCATGTGGGGTGCTCTATATCCAGGGGGGCAACTCCTCCCACCTTCCTCTCAATCCCTGCTTTCCCTGCATTGGGCGGGGAGGGGAGGGCGGCAGAAATATTTATTTATTTCCTTTATTTATTTAATTTTTTTTTTTTTTTGGAGTAGAGAGTGACAGATGGCGGCGGGTCCCGGGGGAGCCGGCTCTCCCCCAGTGCAGACGCATGCCAATCACCGTCTCTCATGTGATAGCTGCTGCCCGTGACGTGCCAAGCCCATATGGCCTGGCATAGAGGCTGGTACCCCGCCTGGTAGAGATGCCACACTCGCTCCGCGGTTCGCATGGCGCTCTGAAGACGCCGGCGCCCGCCGCCTTGAGGAGCCGCTGCCCCCGCTCCCAGAAGATGGGGGAACAATGAAATAAGCGAGAAGATTCCTCTTCTCCCCCCTCTCTCTCTTGCCCCCTCCCCCCCTCCCCTCCCCTCTCCCCTTGACTCCTCTCCGAGGTAAGTTGTCCGAAAGGGAGCTGCTAGATCTGACCCGCCGGTTGGGAGGGGGGGCGGCAGCTTCGGCCGGCTGGAGGGTCCTCGAATACCTCCTTCCTGGGATGATGCCCCATCATTGGGTGGGCATCCGAGGCGCCCCAGGTTCTCTCTCCCTTAGGAGCTGCAGCCCAGGGGGCTGCAAAGGAGGCGTCTCTGCCTGCGATGGTCTCGGTGGGGGGGAAGGCAGGATCAGGGAGGAGGAGATGCGAAGAGACCGAGACGGAGGACCCCTCCGTGGTTGTCCCAAAAAGCCTGCGACCTTTCCCCACCACCAAAAAAAGAGAAGCAAACAAATTTGGATTTTTTCCCCCATCAATCCCAAAATACAACGAGATCTGAAGAGCCGTGTGGGAGGGAGGTAGTTTGAAGGGGGAAGGGGGTCTCTGACCGCGGGGGGGACGGACTGGGCTCGCTTCTCTCAGTCTCCTCCCCACGCCCCGCTTCTTCAGTCCTCGCCGCCCAGAGCCGGCTCCAGGAGCTGGGGACGCGTCGGCTAGAGGAGACGATCCTCCCGCCTCTGGAATTGGGGGTGCGGGGGTGGGGGCCGAGCAAGGGGCGGCGCGCGGCCAAGTTGCAAATTGGATTAGGGAGTGTGGGGGTGAGAACCACGGGAGGGGTGAGGGAGCTGGGCAGAGGGGCCCGGGCAGCCCGAGCGGGGAGCGGGGCAGCTGTCCCCACCGGCGGCCGACCAGCCACTCTCCACCGCCGGAAGAGAACAGGCTTTCAGGGAGAGCGCGCCGCCTCCCCTGGCAAAGATATCTGGTCCCTAAAACCCCCACCCGGTACCCGCCCTGACCCTGAGAAGAAGCAGGCGCGGGGAGCAGCCCCACATTCAAGCGTGGGGCGGAGCCGGGGCCCGGCGCTGAGGAGACGGCCTGGGCCGAGATCCCAGGCCCGCAGCCGGGTAGGGCTGGGCCGGCTCTGGGCGGGGCAGGCGGCGGAGGTGGGCATCAGGGTAGCCTGGGCAGGAGCCCGCACGAGACTCGGGGGTGGAGGCGGGTGGGGGGGAGCGGTCGTGACCCCACTGCGTCCCTCACTTTGTGCTGTCTGTCTCCCCATTCCCGCCCGCCGGGCGCCCTCAGGCACCATGCTGACCCGCCTGTTCAGCGAGCCCGGCCTCCTCTCGGACGTGCCCAAGTTCGCCAGCTGGGGCGACGGCGAAGACGACGAGCCGAGGAGCGACAAGGGCGACGCGCCGCCACCGCCGCCGCCTGCGCCCGGGCCGGGGGCTCCAGGGCCAGCCCGGGCGGCCAAGCCTGTCTCTCTCCGTGGAGAAGAGGTGCCGGAAGCCACGCTGGCAGAGGTCAAGGAGGAAGGCGAGCTGGGGGGCGAGGAGGAGGAGGAAGAGGAGGAGGAAGAAGGACTGGACGAGGCGGAGGGCGAGCGGCCCAAGAAGCGCGGGCCCAAGAAGCGCAAGATGACCAAGGCGCGCCTGGAGCGCTCCAAGCTTCGGCGGCAGAAGGCGAACGCGCGGGAGCGCAACCGCATGCACGACCTGAACGCAGCCCTGGACAACCTGCGCAAGGTGGTGCCCTGCTACTCCAAGACGCAGAAGCTGTCCAAGATCGAGACGCTGCGCCTAGCCAAGAACTACATCTGGGCGCTCTCGGAGATCCTGCGCTCCGGCAAGCGGCCAGACCTAGTGTCCTACGTGCAGACTCTGTGCAAGGGTCTGTCGCAGCCCACCACCAATCTGGTGGCCGGCTGTCTGCAGCTCAACTCTCGCAACTTCCTCACCGAGCAGGGCGCCGACGGTGCTGGCCGCTTCCACGGCTCGGGCGGCCCGTTCGCCATGCACCCATACCCGTATCCGTGCTCCCGCCTGGCGGGCGCACAGTGCCAGGCGGCCGGCGGCCTGGGCGGTGGCGCGGCGCACGCCCTGCGGACCCACGGCTACTGCGCCGCCTACGAGACGCTGTATGCGGCGGCAGGCGGTGGCGGCGCGAGCCCGGACTACAACAGTTCCGAGTACGAGGGGCCGCTCAGCCCCCCGCTCTGTCTCAATGGCAACTTCTCTCTCAAGCAGGACTCGTCGCCCGACCACGAGAAGAGCTACCACTACTCTATGCACTACTCGGCGCTGCCCGGCTCGCGGCCCACAGGCCACGGGCTAGTCTTCGGCTCGTCGGCTGTGCGCGGGGGCGTCCACTCGGAGAATCTCTTGTCTTACGATATGCACCTTCACCACGACCGGGGCCCCATGTACGAGGAGCTCAATGCGTTTTTTCATAACTGAGACTTCGCGCCGGCTCCCTTCTTTTTCTTTTGGCTTTGCCAGCCCCCCTGTCCCCAGCCCCCAGAGCGCAGGGACACCCCCACCTACCCCAGCGCCGGGCGCCGGGAGCGGGCTGCCGGTCCTGCCGCTCTCCTGGGGCAGTGTGGTCCTCTTACCTGTGGGTGGCCCGTCCCAGGGGCCTCGATTCCCCCAGGGGACTCGCCTTCTCTCTCCCCGAGGGGTTCCCTCCTCCTCTCTCCCAAGGAGTGCTTCTCCAGGGACCTCTCTCCGGGCGCTCCCAGGAGACACCCCTCCCCCATTCCCAATATCTTCTCTAAGGTTTCCTCCTCCGCCTCCTCCCTGCAGGCCCAAGGCATTGGTGAGGCGGCAGCTGAGAAGTGGAACGCGTTTTCCCGTCTCATTATTATTATTTAAAAACAGACACCCAGCTGCCGAGGCAGAAAGGAGCCAGGCGCTCCCTCTTTCTTGAAGAGGGTAGAAGTCAGCGCGCCTAAACCCGGGCCTGGAACGCCCTCACCCCCAACCCCAAGTCTCCGCGTTTTGCGATTTTAATTTTGGCGGGAGGGGAAGTGGATTGAGAGGAAAGAGAGAGGCCAACACAATTTGTAACTAGAAACCGTTTTTCCCTTTTCCTTTTTTTAAACAAACAAACATACATAATAGACATAACATAATTTTACCCATGAGTACTTCAGTATGCATTGCTAACAAAAAAAAAAAAAAAAAAAAAAAAAAAAAAAAAAAAAAAAAAAAAGCTAAGAGGCGACGGAGGCCGAACGCAGAGTCCGGATCGGAGAGAAAACGCAGTAAGGACTTTTAGAAGCAATAAAAGGCAAAAAAACAAAAAACAAAAAACAAAAACAAACAAAAAAAACCACTACTACCAATAATCAAAGACACAAATATCTATGCAAGGAGGCTCCACTGAGCCTCGCGGCCCGGCCCGGCCCCGGGATGCCCCGCCCGGCCCGCGGGCCGCCCCGCCCGAGCGCGGATCTGTGCACTTTGGTGAAGTGGGGGCCCGCGCCGCCCCCTCCCCCTCCCCAGGTTCTTACAATCAGTGACTCGGAGATTTGGGGCCCCAGTGCCACTGCCCTCCCCCGCCCCGTCCCCGTTGTGCGTCATGCTGTTTTTAAAAAACCTGTTTCCAAATTTGTATGGAATGGCAAACTGTTGGGGGGTCGGTTTGGGGAGGGAGGGTTTGCATGAAAGACACACGCACACCACACCGCACGCACAAGCAGGCCCGGAGCCGGCGTCCGGGGGCAAAAGGAGGTGAGCTCATCCGCTCCTCCTCCCCGTGGGCACTTCTGTCCCCTCCTGGGGTGAGGGGTGAGGATGGAGACCTGCGGGAAGCCCCACCCCTGCCCCGACTGTGCCTCGGTGGGTGCCAGGCGCCCGCGATTTTCGGTGTCTGGAGAGGGTATTTTTGGTCCAAGGAGTCCTCCTGGCGCTGGTGGGTGGGTGGGGGGGAGAGATCTGAGAGCTACTGCTGGAAGTTCCCCCAAAAGGGGGCAAAAAGAGACCCTCTCCCCACCAGAGGCAGGGGATCAGGCATCCAAACACACGATGCAAAAATGCAAACCCACAGGCGACACACCCACACACTCATCCACACACGCAATTTTACCTTCCTCTTGTAGTGAAGATGAAACTCCCGTCGGACACCCGAAGTGCATTGCGTGTTTCTGTTCCGTTTAATGACGATTAATAAATATTTATGTAAATGAGATGCAAAGCCGGACCGCTTTCTCACGGTGGCCTCGTTTCATTGAGGGGGGAGAGGAGATTTGAGCTGGGGCTGAGGTGATGAAGGCAGAGTGTCAAGTGACTGTGCAGAAGCCAAAGAGAGGGACGCTGGACATTCTTGGGTGGGATTCCTGCCCTAACCCCCCCCATACACCCACTGGGCTATACTAGCTGCCCCTCTCAGAACCCAGGCTCGCACCCACCCAGCACTAAAGCACCCATATCCTTACACTTCATTCCCGAACGTGCACACACACCTCCCTTGAAAATAAAATACTTTTTCATCTCTGAAAAATGATCAAGTTGGGAACAGCCAGTCATTTTACAACTCTCTGCCCACTGTTGCCAAAAAGCAAATGGGCAGAGACAAAGAGACAACCATTTGAACCAGACAGGGGTACTTTTAAAACAAAAAAATTTATAGGGTCATGAAGATGAAATATTAATGAGGGAGGCCCCTTTTTCATCTTAAAGTTGTGTTTCAGTGGACTCAGGGGAATCAGCCATTTTGGTCTCAGTAATGTTGACATTTTCAGGGCTGTCGACAGGGTTGGAGGAACACCCCCAGAGGTCTGTGAGGTGGCTGAGTCTGGGTGTCCACCTGGTAGAAAGGAGCTTGACCTAACCATGTCCTCCTTGGGACAGGGCAGCAGGAGCCCACCCCATCCACATCTGAGCTGTGTTCTTCCTGCCTAGTGCAGTTCTGAACAGAGGGAACCCTAAGGGCTTAGAAGAGAGGACAGGCACTGGCTGAGCATCTCTTGCTCAGACACTGTGGCCTCACAATTCTTTTTCTCCGAACCTCAGAGGCAGGAGCAGCTCTGAACTGACTTCCGTGAAAGCACCCCTCCTCCTCCCCCCCTGCCCAGGCTGTGATTCACACTGTATCCCTAAAATATTTGAAGAGGGCTCTGAGCTCCAAAGACTCCCATCCTAAAGCCTGAACACAGTTACTCGTAAGCCCCCCAAGGAGGCTGTTTCTGATGCTGCTCGTTGAAATTATTTGTGCAAACACTGTGGCTTGTGTTAGCACTGAAATGGGGTTTGTAAGTGTTGGGGTTGAAGATTAAGGTCAGGCAGGCAAAGACTTTTAAAGATTGGGCCCAAGAACCCAAAATAATATCTCTCTGACAAGCAGGAAAGGGAAAGGTTGTTGAAGGAAGTCCTACATGTCGAAGGGTGGATCGAATTATACTATCGGAACTTGAGCTCATGGCATCCCCTAAATGTCTATCCTCAAACCCCTTCAGTCCCCCAGTAGAAAAGATGCCCTCCTGGTGGTCAGGACGGCTGCCAGCAGAGGCGCCAAGGCCAGGAGCTGTCCACTGTGGGGTGCTGACCCTCATCCAGTGTCTTTCCTTCCGGCTGCAGAGGGAAGTCCCTGTGCCTGACCCTGGGGAACATGGAGCAGGAGGCCCTTCCCAATGTCGAGTTGGAATTCTCCAGCAGTTATCAGAAAATTTTACCAGAATTCTTTCAAAATTTCACTGCCTTCTCTGGAATTCTCCCAGGATCGTCTCTCTAGAGTGAGATCACAGACTAGGGCCTTCATCCCCAGGATGTGTCCCAGCATTCAGTATCTCATAAACCTCTGAATCACTCTTACTCATGGGAGAAAGGAGTTGGCCCGTCTTTCTTCCTCCTCACTTATTGCAGGGAGTGTGGAGCAAGGTGCACATCTCAGTTCTTAACCTGGAAAAGTCCGATCCGCAGGCATGGTGTGGGGCAAGGCCTGGCAGGGGCAACCGCAGAGAAAAGGAACTTGGCACTCATCCCAAGGCCTGATTCTTATCCTGCCCTGGGAACAAGGTTAATTGGGCTTCTCTCCCACTCAGCCAGTTTCCTAGAACCCACTCTGATGTCCAGAGCTGGGCAGGATCCAGGTGGCTTGGGGCCTGAAGCAAAGGACCCCTCCATGTGGCTCCCCTGGCCAGACCACAGACTTTTCTATGCATTGCTCTTCAGCTACCCTATGTGGCTCAGTTCTGTTTTCGAGGCCGGATTCCAGCCCTTTTAGAAGGATGCTGACTACTCTTGGGCCCCTGTGTCTGTGATCACAGTGGGCAGGGGTGCACGGGTCCCTTTTGGGATGGAAATCCCCTGAGTGCCTTCGCTTCTGTTGAATCCCGGCATCCACACCAGTCACCCCTTTTCCGATTCCTGACCCTTCCCCCAACATTCCCTGCACTCTGGCTGGTTCTAGTCTCTCATTACCCTCCTCCCCAATGCTCCACTTCCCTGATGAGATGGTATGATGAGCAGGAGAAGAAGATGTGTGCAGACGTCGCCTTGCAGGTCTCTTTCTCTTGCTTGCTCTCTGCCTGCACACACACACCCAGAGAGGCTCCAAGAACAGAAGCAGGGGAGGGAGGAGAAAAGGGGCCAGCGTGGTGCTGGGCCTGGGGAGAAAACACAGAGAGGATGCCCTTCTTGCCCTAGCCTCAGCAGCAGGATCTCCAAGCACCCACCAGCCGGCTCAGCTCAACCACTGGGCCTCCGAACCCGATGGCTGCATCCAAGTTCAATCAAGAGGGCATCTTACTCTTGATTTTCCAGCCCCCATTCCAAGTACAGCATTCAGAAGATGACAGAGAAAAAGAGGTATCTCTGAGTTCAGGCCATTTGCCCATCTGGCAGGACAGGGAAGGAAGGCAGTTACTCCCTGTCTCTTCACTGTTGAGCTCCGTTCCATCCACGACCTGGATAGTGAGCCATGGACCCCAGTGAACCTCCAGCCCTGATTTTGTCACCCAGGAAGACAGCCCAATAAATCACTGGGGGACACCAACCCCCATGAGGGTCAGTGACAGGGAAGCCCTGACACTCTGGAAGCTCCATGGGACTGTGCCTGCTTCTCTTTTCCCTTTCATGGGAAAGTCCACAAGCTGGTGGATACAAGAATTTCTGGGTGGATGTCAGAGATTTCGTTCTCTCTTGGGCAACTTTTGCTTTCTCCTCTTCCCCAGAATCATTAATAAGAATTTACCTGCTCTGAGGGGAGCCATTGATTTGAGAGGGGAATTGAGATGAAGGTATGGCTCTAGATTCCACAGTTTAGTCCTGAAGGAAGCTGGGAAGAAAGAGAAATCAGAAGCCAGGACTGAGCAGCTTTAGCCTGACCTACACTCCCAACCCCTCCATGACAACCGACAGGCAGCGCAGGATTCCGAATCTGACCTGCTCCAGTGTGCTCAAAGGAGAATGCTTTTTGTGAAAGTGGGAGGGGCAGATGGGCCTCTGCTGTCAGATCAAGCTTCCCAGCTCACAGCCCAAGGCACTGTCATTTTTCCATCCTTCAGGGCTGGGACACCTAGACGCTGGCCACGGGGCCAGAGCAGAGATGACACCTGAACTGTGAGAAACCTTAAAACCTTGCCGGGGTTCTGAATCCTGAAGCAGCTTCTGCCTTTCTGTCCTGCAGCTTTAAAAATTCTCGACAAAGTTTCCCTGGGTGAGAAGTGGTAAGAAAGGGCGTAGCTGCCTTGTTGGGAGGGCTGTTCTGCTCTCGAAACTTTCTCCATCCGAAAGCACTGGGACAGGGGCGCCGGTCCTGGGAGTGTGGACGGAGAAGAAGGCCAAGACCAGGGCTGGGTTCACAGGAAGGAAAGCAACGGATTTCTGGAGGGTAAAGCGAGGAACAGAGTCACCTTAGTTTCCTAGTGCAGAGAAGGGAAGCTGGGGCGCTCTGAGGGGAGGAGAGGAGGGAACCTCTAGGTGCTGGCCGTGCCCAGGGAGCTTTGGGTGGAGACGTTGTCCAGATGTGAGCCAGGGTATGGCTCTAACGCAGCCAACTCTCCTGCCCGCTCCAGCGCGGGAGCGCAGCGCGGTCTCCCCGGGCTGACGGGGGCTGCGGAGTTCCATACCCGAGTGTGTTTCTGGTGTTCGGGTATTTAAACCTCTCTCCCAGC